CCCAAGGGAGTTATCTAAGACTGCACCCATATGTGAATGCATCGTTCTTTGATTCCAAAATAATGGAAGAACCTATCGCATCAATTGAACTCGAAGAAGTTTTACAGTTACTTAACACCTGCAAAAAGAAAAAAATCTTGTGATGCTCATGAAATATCTAGCTATATGTTTCAATATATTCCTAGCACGTATTGGAGTCTCTTATTACAAATCTTCAATCTCTCATTCTTTTCAAATATCTTTCCTAATGCGTGGGAAAATGTACAAATACTCATCCTGGCAAAAAAGATGCACACCGTTCTTTATCACAAAAGCGTCCTATTTTTCTGTCAGATCCGGTTCTAAAACTAAATGAGAGACTCTTGACAAACAGATTCCGAGTAATTTTAAAAAGAAGGAAAATCTTGTCTGTCGCTCAATCGGGATTTAGACCTGATTTTCAACTTCAAACTAGAGTTTTCTTATTTTGAGAACAAATTTCATCATACATAGCAAATAGCTCACCTCTAGCTACTATGTTTGTGGATTTCAAAAGCGCTTTCAACCAACTGTGGTTGGCTAGATGTACAGGTAAACTACGTAGGATGGGAATTCCTAGATCTTACTTGGAATAGACAAAGTCATGGCTAATACGAGGAAGAGTCTATGTCGAAGTCCAAGAAAAATGCTTAAGATGGTTCTCAATCAATAGAGGAGGATCGCGGGATCCATTTTTACACCTATATTACTTATAACATACCACTCAGATGTACTTAGAAGATTTCCCAGTTTATTGTGTTCCATTCGTTTTTGCAGATAATCTCGCAGCTGTACTTGCAGGAAGAATTGGTATCAAGTATAGTGAGCAATGCCTAGATCTAGAAAAAATGCCTTAAAACAATTTGTTGAAAAAACTAGAGTTTTATTCAATCCTGAATGTTCAACTTATTAACTAGGCAAAAACAGAAGCGGTTTGATCTGCTAGAGCGATAGTCAGTTCCACATGAAAATTTTTTGGGAGATGAAGTAAATTCATTGGACGAGATCACTTAAATATCTTGGCTACTGGATTTGTCCCAGACTAGAATGGGACAAAATGATCAAAACAGCAATGGAGAAAATCAGACAAAGAGTTAGCATGGTTAATACATTCAATACTAATGGGCATAAATCCATTCAATAAAAACTGTGTAGCAGAAAGGAACAATTACAGTCACCTCCATCGAAATCTTGAGCCAGTCTCCAAATAAGAACGAACCGCATAAATGACACCGTACCGATACTCATGGAGCTAACTTCCACTACGGGTTAGTTTAACAATGAAGAATTATAAAAATTTCGAATTTTCAAACATGGATCACTGGTTTTTAAAAGGAAATTGGTATTTCGATGCTTAAATCGGTGCAACTTTGTGTTTTACTTACCGGGTACAGATCTTGGCATTTAAAGGAAGTAGTTTTAAAAAATTTCTGTACACATCAATATAGCATCAGTATACAAAAAAGTTTTATTCGACTTATTATTATTATTTTAGATGACTACTGGAAATTATCCGTGAAAAGCTTCATATGTGAATATATTTGCTTGGCAATGGTTGAAATTTCTTTATTGAGGTGTAGAATATGACTTGACAGTTGTAGTTTTCACATTATCCTCATGAAAAAGAGCTTTAACTAACCTTCTATCAAAAAACCAAAACGTCAGTCAGCCAATTCGAGTGGAGTGAAGCGGATATATTTCAACCTTTTCTCGTTATACTATTTCATGGTCCAGTCTTTAGAGTAAAAGTATTGTACTTCCGGTCTTGCAAATTATAAGATTTCATTGAAAAAACATATCAAGTATTTCAGATCTTGAATAAAATCTTCTCTATAGAGTTTTCCCGAATAAACTATGTGCTACATATTCATATTGTCACAGATTTTTTACCAATGGAATCTAATGAAATATGTTCCAATATGGCTATAAACACATATGTATTTTACAGAGAGAAGCATGACGAACTATAAACTGTCGGAAAAGTAATAGATTTTAATAATAGCTACTGATGATATTTAGACAAAAAGATTCTTGAGTCTTATTTTAGTATATGATTTAAGAATGTGTTTAGCAACATGGTAGTCAATGTTCTATACTACGTTATGTTTCTTTCAGGATTGAGCTGATCAAGGCTCAAGAAGCTGACCCGTTGCTTATTGTTATTTGTTGAATTTATTGTTGATAATTATTTATGTATCCGTCGACAATGTTTATTCATTTTTTTTCTGTTTGTCAAAATCAATATTTATTCGTTTGAGTTTATTGATTTTTCAATAATGTCAAACATATTATATGAAAAAACATCTTTCTCTTATAGCAATCGATAATTTATGTCAAAGTGAATAGAAAATAAAAAAACAATTATAAATTAATATTGGTAGTCATCGGAAATCCGTAAAAAATAATTTATTATCGCTCGAAAGAAAACAATCATGATCAAATCAGTATCGATAATTGCTACAAATTTCTCTGAGATAATCTAATTGATTAGTCAGCATAATAGAACAAACTTCGTGAAACCATTTAAAACAATATAAATATCAGAAAAAAGAAGAAAAGGTGGTAGCCCGAAAATCTTGATATCGTTATTTGTCTAACTGTAATCAATAAACGAATTAACGAATGGATTGCTTAAAAATAAAGTCAATTAGTATATAATTAGTTGATATCAATGAGAAAACAGGTGATTTAACGAGTTCAGCAGAAGATACTTTAGACATTTGAAAAATCTTGAGAAGATTTTTAAAAAGTTCAAAAGACGTCATAAGATGTTCAATCGAGTATTTTGTCAATGTTTACCTCGCTTTCAAATAAACAGGACGAAATGCTAAACATCATTCAATTGAGACGTCTTTTTTTACTAAGGAATAGATCTTTGTCAAATTTCGAATAAATTCAAAACAGCTTCTAACGAGTTCGAATCTAAACTAGTCATGACCCTATCGTTAATTAATTGTAACAAGCTTCAACATTTGTTTTTTATAAGATTTTATCAATGAAAAACGATCAATAAACAATATATTGTCTGTTGTGGTGAGAAATTATGTGAATATTATCGAAAATATTCAATATTAGATATAATTCGAAAATGTTCATGAATAAACACATAAATGATAGAAAAAAAGTGAACTGAAACATATTTAAATAATAGTTAAGATCGATTGATGAATAGATATTGTTTTTATTTCGAATAAATAACATTTATTTATTAAAAAAGAAAAAGAAAAGTAATTTAATTAAAAGAAATGTTTAATGTTATTAGAATAAAATAAATGAAAATCGATTGAATATAAATTGATTTAAATAAATTAAATTAAACAAGTGTAACTAATTGTTGATGATTTAAGTGCATTGGAATAAATCTTCGATCTGTTTGATCGTTATTTGATGTATTTAATTTATCATTATAGTGAATTGATAAACAAGTTAAACCAATATTAAATTTTTTTGATAAATTTTCTTCAATATTAACATTATTCAATGATAATGGATATGTTTTTGTTTTAGATAAATGTTCTTTTGATTTAAATGTTGATAGACTTGGTTCAACTATTGCTGTTGGACGACTTTGAACTATTTTAATAGAAACAAAGAAAAAAAATAAAAAGACGATAAATAAAAATAAGAAAACCTGTTAATGTTTTTATTGGAATAATGTTCGGAGGAGGTGATGGAGATATTTGTTTTGAATTAAATATTTGTTGATGTTGTTCATCAAGACTATCAAGATCAATATTATCTTGTAAAGCATAATCTAATTCTAAATCATCTAATAAAATTTGTTTTTGATCAATATCTTCATTTATTTTAGTTATTTTTTGATCAAGTTCATCTGATAATTGAGTTAATTTTCTACTTGAAATTAATGTTTGATTAACATCATATAAAATATTAATAAAATCATTTTCTAATGAATCTTGATTATATTCATTTTCAATATCAGATTTTAAACTTAATATTAATTTATCTTGATAATCAATATCATTATTTAAACGATTTATTCTACGATATATATTTAAATAAGATAATATATTATTATTATCATAATCATTGAATTTATTTATTAAATTAAATGACTCAATTTGTTTATCAGTTTTTTGAAGTTGACGTTTTAATTTATCTAATTTTTTATCTTGTTGACGAATAAGGATATATGTTGGAATTGTTTGTTCTTCTGGAGATCGAACTGTTAATATAACATTCTGACATTCTCGAGACCATGATTTCCATAATTTAAGAAGACGACAACGACCTTTTAATGGTCTTTCAATTCCACGCCAACATTCATATAATTGATAATCTTGACTTTTTTTTGATGAATCAATATTTAATGATGATGATGATGATGATGATGATAATATTGCTTGAATTACATCCGAACAAGTTGAACGAGAACTTAAATTTGATATCCATTTAACTCTTCCATGAAACCATATTGGAATTTCTGTTTCTAATTCCATTTCTCGATTTGTCTTTCGATTATCAATAGGATTTATTAAACACAAAAAAAGAACCACGAAAATCTTATTGTTTTATTGTTTATATTCGATGAATATTATCTTGTTTAGGATCGATATTAAATATAAATAATAAACGTTTCATTTATATAAATCAATCTAAATAGAATCTCAATCATCAATAAATTTTTTTAAAATCTAACCTTGAAAATAACAAGATTCTCTCTTCTTTTTTCTCTCTTATATTCATTTTATTATCGTTGTCAAGCAACACCAGTTGCAAACGTTCGACAAAAAAAAAACGTTGAATGCGATAAACGACTGGATTCAATGTTTGAATCCGATAAATGAATACAATTTCTGTGTACTTTAAAAATATATTCTTGTGCTTCTTTTTTTATTCGTTCATTTCTTTTTCTGTCTTAGAAGTCATACATATCGAACGTACAAGGAACATCGATTTTATTCAAACGCCTTAATATTTGACTGTTCATTTTAGAATAGAATTTTCTCAATCAATTCAATTATTCCAATATAAACATTTTTATTTTCTATTTAAATAATTATTTCATAATAAAAGTTTGAAAAAAAAACAAATGAAATATGTCAATATGATAATCTATTATAGTTAAGAAACTTTTTTTTAATATAGATGTGACTAGATTTAAGTCAAGATAAATAAATAAATAATTTATTTTATTCAGTACTGATTATAGATAAGAAAATTGATCGTTTTATATTATGTATTTTACTTATGGCATACCAAAAGTTCTCGCCACGGAGTTTAAGGGATCATTTTGGATAAGGGAGCTTATTGAGAAATGAACAACCGAATATACCAAATCCTGTTTTCATTGAATTTTGAAGGATCTAGAGTCAACTTACTAACGGGCGACTATACACCCACATTCACACCCTATATATAGCATCTCCGGTCATCTTGACCGTGTGAGTGTGGATATGGGTGTGGATGTGTAGTCGTCAGTCAGTAAATTGACTCTAGTTTCTTTAAAGTCTCATGAAAACAGGATTTACTATATATCATTCGATGCACCTCAAAGAGCTGTACAACATGGTATATGTGATTTTTCATATTTCAATTGGTCCCTTTATCCGAAAAGGTCTTTTAAACGCTGTGGCCCGAACTTTTGGTATGCCTCAAGTAATTAAATACAAATGAAACCGTTGGATTTTCTTTATTTTTCACAGTATGATGAAAAATAACGAAGATTTTTATTGTTATTATATTGATTTAATAATATTTTAATAATCGAACATAAATTGATAATAGAAAGAAATAATTGAATTGTAAATATATGAATCAATATTTTAAAAAAATATTTAAACGAAAATCATCTTGTTTATATATGAATACAAAATAAATTCAATAAATATTATATTCGAATATTTTCAAATGTTCATTTAAATATAAATTTTAAAAGAAAAACTCTTTTTTTTTTTATTTATTTTGTTAATAGATGAACAAGAAAGAAATGTTTTTAACTACTGATAATATATTCTTATCAAATATATTCGAAATCATTTTTTAGAATTTATTTCAAAAGAGAATATATTTTAATTATTTAAAAGAAATATTTTACTAATCACATTAACAATTATATATTTTATCGGACTAAAGTTAAATGGAATTATTTATGAAAATAAAAATTAAAAAGAAAAGTGATCTAACCTTGTTTAAAATAATCGTTTTTTTCTCTATTCATACTTCAAGTAAATAAATCGTATTTATCAAAAAAAGAAAAAGAAAAAGTACACACAAGTGAAGGACTTTTCAATGACGTCTTTAAACATAGCCTAAAAGAAAAGAAGACTTTCAATGCTGAAGACTTATTTATGTTGTGTTGACTTTCATTCAAATGGGGACACTTTTTTTTATACTTTATCCGATTTATTTAATACCATAGAAATTCAAAAAGAATTAATTCTTTTTAAATCAATTGACATATTCAAACAAATTTCATTCAATTTGTCTTTTTCATCGAAACTATTTTTCTGCAATAATTATATCATATCAAATAAATAATTTGATTTATTTCATATATTTTATTTTAGTTTTATTTTTACTTACAACTTAATTGAAATGAAATTTCTTATTAAATAATTGCTTTTTTCTTTAATTATCTTTTTTTTGTTATTTAACATTTAGTAACATTAACATTTTACAAATTAAATATTTTTCTTTTAATTAAGATACACTTTTCAAAAAGAAATATAATATCGTATGTTTTTTTTTCTCGTAAGATTCTATATGTTTCTATTAAATGAGATAAACTCATTGAAATAAATGATAATTATTCGACTAATCTTCATTTAACGATTGTTACTCGTTTATTAATCTATAGTCTATTTTTACAGTTTTTTTTTAAATCAATTAANAAGTCTCCTTCGTCCAAAACCGTTGGTCGTCCGGAACGTGGCCTGTCTTCAAGATCAAAATCGCCTTCATTGAAACGCTTGAACCATTTCTGTGCAGTTCGCGGTGCCACCGTACCTTCACCTTCAACGTCGCAAATTGCTTTGGCAGCTGCTTTTGCATCCAAATTCTTTCTCCAATAATGACGCAGCAATACGCGAAGCTCAAAATATGTGATTTCGTAATCAGACATCTTAAAAAATCAATAAATTTTCATAATAGCCACGAAACCAGATCAAAAACACAAAAAAATATATAAAAAAGCATTATTTTAACACGGCGCACGAACTTTTTCCTCAACCTAATATCATTATCTTTTGCTTTTGACTGTTTTCGTTTTTCATTAATGTTCATGTGATAGTCTTTTTTTATTGTCTTTCTAATTTTTCAATTAATGAAGAAAATAACAATCTTAACTTAACGTTCATAAATTTCAACATATAAATAATAAATGATATATTTTCCTTAAATGTACCTTCAATGGTAATTTTATTTTTTATCTTAAGTCATCTCATATTGTATAGAGTGTGATCTTAGTAGAAGTTAGTATCTGATAATGATAGATTTATTGAACATGATAAATGAAATCATAATAATAATTCTGAAAATATGACAGAAATGAGAAATGAAAAAAATCGTTTCTGGAGGACATTAGAGGTAATCTCCTAATAAATATGTTTTGAATACAGAATACAAGTTATTTTCCTTAAATTATCGATAAAAAAATTACCGAGTTCTCAACACTGAAATCATTTCCTACTTCCTCGAAGAATTTTTTGATCATGCTAATTTTAAGTGAACAAATAATGTCACATAGGGATACATTTGATTCAAAAACACTCAGAAATGCACACGTGATGAAAAACGATATTATCAACAGAAATTACACTGCTCTAAAACATATTCATATAAAATATATCGATGGAAATATTTGCAAGAAGAAACTTTTTTTCTTAACTAAAACGTTTATATTATTGACTGCTACACTTCATAAATTAGAACTATTTAATTTAACGATACTAGAGATATATCATATAGGTTTTAAAATTTAATAAAATCTTGAAATTTTCAAGTCTTATGAAAATTTCATGTCGACTGTTTTCTTTTTCGGTTAGTTTGCCAACATCTACTGTTTTTAGTATTCAGAAAGTTTAGAAATGTTAACTTATTATTTTATGCATTATAATTCCATATTGTTTATCCTATCACATTCAACAAATATTAAGAAAGAATTGTAAATGAAAACAGTTGTTTCTGTCAATTACTCGCATAAAATTTTTTTTTAATCGTAGTTGAATTGATAAATTTATAATCAAAAAACATTTTTGTATTTTGTAGGATAAGCTACATAATTTGAAGTGTTTCTCATTAACAAGTTATTATGTCACTTATGATTATGACGATATGATTGTGCCACTTCTTCATCGTATGTCACATCTGCAAAAATTAACTTTGTATCTTCGTATTCAGAATCGAAATGCATTTGTCGATGGCACACATCTTCATAATGAAATACTTGTCCATATGCCTCATCTTCATACATTCATTTTTTATATTAGTACAGATAACGACATCAATGGTTTTGTTCATTATGTATCTGCTAATGATATTCAAAGAACATTTAAAACAATAGGTTATAAACAAACGACTTGTATCGTAAATTACTTTCACAATTTTAGGATCATATGTCATGTTTTCTCGCTTCCATTTGCATTCACTCATCTGGAAAAGATTGCGAATCAATTTCCAACTATAATATTTGACTATGTAACTTATTTGTCTGTCTACGATGTGGTTTCATTAAATCATGAATTCTTTATTCGAATATGTAAAGCTTTTCCATTACTTAAATATTTCTCTATGATGAATTTAATGATGCAATCATCAAATGATAATGAATTGAAATGTAATAACAATCTATCAAATTTAATTATTGAATACTCTCATCTTACATCACTCGACATCATCCATGTGAATATAGATTATGTTGAACAATTTTTACTGGAAACAAAAGTAAATCTACCTTGTCTAACTGATTTAAAAGTTAATTACGATCAATTGAAAAGTGTAACAATGAACTTTACAAGAGATGCAACGCGACGCAATTGTTCTAAAGTGAAACGATTAGTTATTGAACATTCAAAAAAGTTGTCAAAAGATGTGTATCAATATTTTCCTTCGTTATAAATTGTATTTTTTGCTGATAATATCAATAAAAATCAAGTTGTCATTCGTCAATGAAATGATGTATTTTATTGATAACATGTGATCGTAAACTTCTAATAAAAAACTGCTAAAATAGTTCTGTGAAATGTGTTAAATACTCTACATTGAATATTACGAACAAGAGAACTGTCCCAAGTTATAAATTGTTCTTAAGTCTTAATTTTTTGAATAAGTTAGACTCTAGTGATGTATGAAAAAGTTCGAAATGACAAGTGTTCTTAGATTCTCTCGCGAGAGTTATACTCCTTTTTATTGAAATTTAAACTTATAGGATAATATAGACGAAAAAAATTGAATGATGGCATTTCAAACTAAAACTTTGCCCATAGATAGGCCTACTTAT